TGCTAACTAAAAGTTTGGAAACTCAAGTCCACCAAAATTGTTTCAAAAGATAAGCCTGCCAGTCTACTTTCAATAACACATCAATCATTAAGAAACACTTTGGAACACAAGCAGCTCTACTTTGACACTAGGGGTAGCCACACATTGAACTCCAAAGCCACTGCTACTGGTCATGCTCATTTAATAATGAGACTCAGAAAATTCATATCTTTCCTAAGTTCACAGGACTGGTAGGTAGCCAAATTGGGATCTGAAGGCAGGGAGGTTATGTTCCTAAACGTAATATACACTACCCAATGTAATTGTCCAAGGAATGTTCATCCTTAGATTGGTTGGAAAGTGATGTTGCCTGGGAGAATTAAGGAAGTGAACCCAGATGAAATTTCTTGATCTTTAGAATTGACTACAAAGCTATAACATATGTTGGATCACATATAAATATAAGAAAGAAATGAGATCCTCTTGATTTCATTCTCCTTCTCCTAACCCAGCTGGGGTGAAGCATGTGTAATTTATGGGATTTCATTCTATGCCAGGTAGGCGGATGAATTAGTTGTGCTAGGTTCTCAGCTGCATGAGGGCTGATCTTTAATCTCTCTTTGTCCTCCTTATGTTACATAAATCCAAAAATACAGTTATCAATTGACTAGGAGTCACTTCTCACTAAAGCTGACTCCATGTGAACAGAATAGAACTGTGCTGCATAGGGTGTTTAAAGACTAATTTTTTTAGAAGTCAGTCACTGGGCCTATCTTCTTGGGCCTGTGTGTGGACTCAGGCCTCAGACACTTTGGTTAACAGCTGAGCATGCTCGGTGTTGTGGGAACCTTATGTGTTTCAGAGATGCACTGCACTCCACAGGGTTTTCAGAGTCTGAAACCTTGCAGAAGTAGATGGCCACGCAACTTTTCCCTACAGCCAATGGCGTCCTGTCATGGACTTCCCACCCCTGACCAGGCCACACATAATCCTTAGAAATGTTTGTTGTAATTTTCTATCAGAGAATAATGTGTAATATATTCATAAACTGCTTAAATGTAATACTCCTTAGGTTATGTGAATAACAATAAGAACAATGTTGTGCAAAATCTTTCCACAATAAATACAATCTTTTTGGTTACTACATTATTAGTAAATGAGTGGGCTTTAAAATTTTTTATTCTTCAGTATAATTAGTATTTCATTCCCAAAACAGTTGTCGATATGGGTATCCAAATACTAAATGTCACAGTATTGTAGCTAAAACACCAGAAAACTCGACATAAGCAGTGACTATAAAAACACTGGCAGTAAAAGCAATACTGTGTGCTTCTCGCGTGAGGTGAAATGATGTGATTTATGTCGGACAGGGTGTGGCCCCTTTGAGAAGCAGGAAGCCCAGGCTTGTGATTCCTGTGCCCTCCTGGCCTCGCCCATGAAGTGCCCTATCCTGGAAGTTTAAAATGTTAGCCAATTACTTAAGTACCAAGACGCCTCATCTGCTTCTTCCCTGGCGGGTGGGGTTCTTCAGCGAAACTGTTTGCGCATGGCCAGGGGAAGGAAACTAGGACTCCTGTGTCCTGTGTCTGAGCCTTATGGAGAACATGTCTGATCCATTGAGATCAATGGCAAATCCAATGTTTAAGTCATTTCTTTGATTTCTGTTCCTTTAGAATTTTAGAGAAGTTTTTGTTTTTCTTTTGAGTTGTTGATAACTGGATAGCATGGCAGTGAAAGCAGCTTGGGATGATGGAGCTAATGCGAGTTGTTACTACTGCTCTTTCAAGACAGCCTCCCTTTATTGAGTTGACACTAGGGAATAAACAAGCCTTTATCAGGATAAAAGATCAAAGACCTGGTTAGCTATGCCAGCCTGTGCAAGGCAGGTTAGTCACCAAAGACTAACCTTGAAGTGGCTTTTGGATACTGCGTGTAGAGAAGGCCTAAGTGTAGCAACCACCTGCTCACAGCTGCTATTAACCCTATGCCTGAAAGTGACCCCACCACTCTATTGTGTGTTGTTTTTGCACAGGCTCCGGGAAAGTGAAGCTGCCAATCCTAGTAGTACTCAAATGTGAGCGACTGCTGGTCTTGGATTTTTTTTTTCCATTTAATTCAGCTGATCATATTGATCAGTAGATAAAAGTAAATAGCTTCAAATTTTAAAAGTCAAATTTTGCAGTGTTTTTTCACTGTATCAAACATTGTCAGTGCTCTATTTAATAATTTTCTTCTGTATCATGGCATTTGTCTACTTGCTTATATATTACATTGTCAATTATGCATTTGTAATTTTTCTTGTAATATGCATTATTTGCCAGTTCTATTATATAGGCTATGGACCTCATGTGCACATAGAAAGACAAATCTAGCTCTACCACAAGTTGCACAAATATTATCTAAGCATTAAGTAATTGTAGAACATAGGACTGCTAATCTCAGTTCGCTCTGTGATGTCAAGTGCAGAATGTACAATTAACTGGTGATTTCCTCATACTTTTGATACTACTTGTACCTGTATGTCTTTTAGAAAGACATCGGTGGAGTCTGTATCCCTTTTGTATTTTTAATACAATAATTGTACATATTGGTTATATTTTTGGTTGAAGATGGTAGAAATGTACTACATTTATGCTTCCACAGCCAGTTTGTACAAGCTGGAGAATAAATAAATATAACAAAAAATAATTGGTTCTGCTGCTGCTCCTCTCTGCGGTAGCTGTCTTCTGGATCCCGGAGGTTCTCAGGCCCAGAGGATGCGCTCCACTCTGGCTCTTGTTGATCATGAAATCCCATTATATGATCATGATCATATAATGATGTCATGTAATTGGATAATAGTGACAGCTGTGATCAGAGCCCATTAGAAGGTTCAGAAGTAAGTTATCATGAAGTTTTCGCCTTGCAGATATACTCATGAATGTAAACGGAGCTTGAACAATGTTTTGATGTCATAATTAACCAGATAGGTGTTTTTTTACACATTTAATTATAACTAATTTAAACACCTGACACGTTTCTGCTGAAACACTGCACAAAAATGTTGCGTTGTCAAGTGCCATTGAGCCGGTTCTAAGCCATGCTGACCCTTTGTACAACAGAATGAGGCACTGCCGGTCCTCTGCTATCCTTGACATTATGTTTGAGCCCATGTTGCAGCCAACGTCAGTCCATCCCATGGACGCTCTTCCTCTTTTATAAATAATGAGTTTGGTGTCACCTCCTGATATTGTCACCAGGTATGTTTTGAACAACCCCCCCCCCCCCAAAAAAAAAAAACTTCCCCTGGAGATTCTACTAATCACAGTGCTCTCAGATAACCATTGGTTAATAGCTAATAAAACACCCTTGTGGCACCCAGGAATATAGTCTTAGATTAACCTTTGATTTCTTTTGTAATTGGACCAATGGTTAGATAGATGGATAGTTATGTTAAGCTTGGTTCTAAAGAATATAAGTAGTAAATTTATATCAATAAACCTGGACACCAGCCCAGATCCCAAGTAACCAGATGCAGGATCCAAGTTAGCAGAAAGGAGAAGAGGGGCAAGAGATAGGCCAGTTCTCCACAGCGACTCAGAAAAATGCTACATCTACAAGGAGACATCCTCAGGCTTTGAGTTGACTGAAAGGTTGGCCTCCAATCATATCTTTTTACAGGTGTGGCAATGTCGACACAAAATCTAACCATTACATGGTAGAGTGACCATGGCCCTCAGTGTCTGTGACTCACTGGCAGGGTCTAGGCGTTATAGTTCTTGACACGTCATTGCAGCTAGTCTTTCCTGAAGTCTCCCTAACATCCCTAAGCTAACATTTTGCCAGATTGCTTCTTCTCAGTGGCTTCTTTGGGTTCGTATTCACCAGTTAATTTGATCCACTCTTCTGTCAAAGCCCAACATGCTGTTAATCCGCTATTTCTAAATTGTTGAGGATTTCTTCCAAGGCAGGCTACTAAGTGAATAAGGCTTTTTTTCTGGAAACAGCAAATTCGGTACTCCAAAACCTGTAGGATAGTTGGTTCATGATTTATGGTAGAAGGTGTGCCCTCCTGTGCACTGTTGGTCAATGATGATAAAGTGAATTTCCTGTTCTTTTCAGCAGCCACCATTTGGAAGCATTTAATCAGATATAAAGTGCTAGGGTGGAAAAAACGTATTCAGGTTGCCACTGTACTGTGGAACCAATTGTGGTTCCTCTTCACACCTTCTAAAATAGTGAAACAGTATTTAATTCATGATTACTGGAATGATTTTATCTGCCTTGTATGTCCCCATTTGAACAGCTATAATATTCCTAGGCAACAAGATGACAACCACTCTGACTCTCAGTTATTCTTTTGGCACCAGCTCTGACCACAGTCACACACTAAGTTCTTAAAGAAGAGCTTCACCTTTGCTGTCAACAGGTAGTCATTCAAGCCTCCTTAATTTCTCAGACTAAGTGTAGTAGATGGTTTCAGCCCCTGACAACTGAAGAGCTTGGGCATCCTTACATTTCAAAAGTTGGAAAAGGAATACAGAAAAAGGGAACTTCATGGTGGAGGGGACAAGGTATTTGAATAAAATACCTAACCGTGTGTTAGGTTGAGTTTCTCGAGAAACAAAGGCCAGTGAAACACACACACACACACACACACACACAGAGAAACAAAGGCCAGTGAAACACACACACACACACACACACA